GAATAAGTGTTTTATTTTATTTGAAATACGTTCCTTCTGCGGTGATACAACAATCTGTACGATCACCCGATGCGTCAAGTGACTTTTCTATATCCTTTTGTGAGATGCCCTTGAGAATGCTGGTTTTCTGACGACTTTCTTCTTCTGGTGACTTTCAGTCAGCACTTCGACGTTTTGTTTCGGAATCACGTTGAAAACACCACGTCTCTTTACTAGTAAAACTTGAGGAAGTTTGGATTCTTACTGTTACACCCTCAAATATTTTCTTGCTTAGTCCTAGGTCTTATCTGTATACACAACTAGTCACCAACTTTCATCATTACTCACACTGGACTCCTCACCTTCCAACTCTCCTACACAGTCGTAATCCAAAGATCATCTTCCTGAAACCATTAAGCAGCCCTATTTTTCCATCCTCGGGTCACTCTCTGTTTTGTCATCTGCACGTCACGTTCCGTCAGTTTGAATAAAGCTCCGATTTAAGCGCTACCCCAATATCTGCCCTCAGTTTCGAGAAACTGAGGCAGAACCGGGCATCACGTTACGAACGGTTTCAGTGATATCTTTGCAATGATCAACTCGATCCAATTTTTGATTATCAATCAACGTGCGAGGAGCAAACTGTGCACGAACCTTGTGAAACTTTAAATACTTTAAATGAAACTTTCAAGATCCTGATGAAGCTAGCTACAATGCTGGCGAAACGTCGGAATGTAACTTCTTTTGGACACGGCTTACACCCGGAAGCCTCGAATAATTCCACTCGTATTAATCCTGGCCGTGAAAGTCTCGAAACTCTCGTTTAAATACTCGGTTGAAATGAGATAAAGCTTGCCTTGGTAATCCCAGCCCATTTTCCAATAATCGTACCGAAGACTGGCTAAATTTTCATTACTTCACTTTTTCGACGTTTTCTTCGGTGATTCCTGTTCTGTTGATCTCTTTTTGACCCGCCTCAAACCGTTTAAACCAGTCGTAAACTTGTGTTGAAGGTAGATAATTATCGTCATATACTTCTTACTATCAGTTGATGCGTTTCGGTAAATGTTTGACCAAGTTTGAAACAGACTTTAACGTTAACTTCTTGTATGAAATATAGTTTTCGAAACGTGTACAAAAACTACTGTTAGGTGTTGAAAACTATTGTTACTTCAGGTGTTAGAACTCGGCAAGGAGTGATTAAGATCCTGGCAGAAGAAGAAAATAGTCTAACAGAGATTGAATAACGCAGGTTCTCTTGGAAACAAATGTAACAAAAATTGCCATTTTTTGGTCTTATCTGTTAGCTACATTTCATGGATACAGTCAAGAACAGAAATATGTGAACATCCTTCAAAGCAGAATAGCTTTTTTTTTTAAATTAGATCAAACAGCTAAGCTTTTTGAATACGTTAGAAGGATTAGTTTACTACATGACGTGTGAAAACAATTTTGAAAAAGCTGCAATTAGTCGGAATCGCGAGGAAAATAGCGAAGGTCGCTTTTTGCTACTTTTTTAATCTGAGCTCGTCATGAAAATTTAGAAAATACGTTTTGAAGATCTACGTCAATTATGCACACGCTGAAAATTTCGTCGAAATCGGTGGATGAAGAAACAAAAGCGACAGGCATCGAAAGATGTAAGAATCTGCAGATTTATTACAGTTCTAGGCCTAAAGTCGTGAAATAATGCGATTTTCACAATTTTTAACCGTTTATAGCTCATAGTAACATTAACCGATTTCAATGAAATTTTCAGTATGCGTATAATTTACATAGACCCTACAAAACGTATTTTTTTAAATTTACATTACAAGCCCAGATAAAAAAGTTGTAAACAGTGACCTTTACAATTTTCTTTGCGATTCCCACAAATTGTAATTTTTCCAAATTTTTTCTACATGTCATCTAGTAAACTAATCCTCCTAACTTCTCAAAAAAAAACTCAAGCCGTTTGGCCCAATTTTAAAAAAGTTACTCTATTTTGAAGTTTTGATGTATATATTGTATACATTAACTGAAGAAACTGATAGACTGGTGTTCGGGAACTGTTCTTAAACTGTTACACGAGCAATGTTCGCTAAAAGTTGGTATAAGTCACAAACAGTTCGTGAACATTGTGTGAGGACGCACCTTAAGAGAGACTAACTTTGCCCGCCTGGGAAAGTCCTTTTATCGTTGCCACCGAAAACTACTCACGGGCATTGGTGGTTGGTTTACGACGGGCATGGCGTTGTTCTCTTCCACACTCGCCTTGCTCGTGCAATAAACGGACTGGTCGGACCATATGGTATTCGTCGAACGACGAATTATTTAAACAATAGTACGGACGACTAATTTACTATTTCATTCACCCTGTTCCGAAGTTCTGGGGTAAGTGTCGTGCTGTTCCTCACAGTCCTCTTACCAGAAGACCTTCATCTTGCCCACTCCGTGGCCAGATCTTCTTAGGAACAATATTCGTTCTTAAAGCAACGCAACTGGTTGTTGTCTGTCTGTCTTCTTCCAAACAATCAAATATATGACACCCGATAGCTGCGTGACTTCGAGTCAGTAGCAATCGTTGGTCGTCCGGGTTGTCTCCTTTCATAAACACTCTCTATGGCTACACGCGGTCTAAGTGTTTTCGACGACCCTTAAGAGTACGTTGTCGCTGACATATCAATTTCTTCCATAAGATTATTCACCAAACGAGGTGAACTTCCTCGTAAAATCGAATATTTCATACTGCATAAGGTCCTTTACAAAATCCTAATCATGGTTTTGTCGAATTAACTTTGCAGCCGCGTGCGTACTATGTCCGTGAAAAAACTGTTTCGAGTACTCTGTGTCGTGAACGGGTTGCGTACGTTTCACGGATGAATGACGGCTACATGAATAACGTAGCAGACATTGAATAACGACCGCCGTTCCTGCGCAGGCCCTACGCGACACTCACGTTAGAAACATCAATCGACAGACGAAACAGACCTAATATTTTAACCGTCTCGTTTCGAAATGTACACGTATCGGAAGTACGATTCTGCCAGATTTTCATATCATTCTTTATAACAATTTATTACAATTCACTTACGTACATCTTTACTTATAAACGTATATGGAGAATCTTAATCGTTAATTGTTTGTCTGGTAGTTTATCCGTGTATTGCTTTGCAGCAATGACGTTTGAAAAAGTATGAATAATAATAATAATATAACGCAATTTTCCACGCTAAAATAACTCTTTCCACTCGCTTCGACGTATATACAACTCTGTTCCTTGATCACCCTCGCCCTTCTCTATTTATACTACGTATACCCCTATTTGCTATACATATAGGAGGACGCTTCCTTGCACTTTTCACTTTCTCCGACTACATACGCTCGCTAATTTTGGATTTTTCCCGCTAAAACAGCGATGGGCCTCGAAAGCGCACGAGACCCACTGCAAAAGGGCCTGATTTGAGTTTCTGACTTTCCCTTTTATAGCCTTCTTCCTGTACCCCTTAGAATAACGCAGGAAGGGGCCAATATTTTTCGATACTACATACATATTTTTTTAACGACCTTGTCTATGTACTGTGCAGAGCTGGAAAGATGTCCCGCAAGACGGCACAGGAGCAATAGAGGTATAGTCGATGGAAGAAATGTAGCGAGATCGTAAAATCGTTCAGGCGTCAAAATTTACACGTTCAACACGACTGAAACCTGAGAAGCTGAGGAGCCGAAATCTCGATCGAAGTTGCACGAAGTGTGCCTTAGCTTTGATTCAGTTCTAATCGAAAAACGAAAATTGTCGCATTCGACCCTGGGTGCTATTGCATCGATCGGTACCGCAACATAACACATTCGCAGCCAGCAATTTTTTCACTTTTCTAATACTGAAAGCCGGTGAAAATAAGGATATTCAAAAGCTGGTTGCCGTGAACTACTGTCCTTAAGACAAGGATAGAAATTATGAAATTTGTTTTCAAGAAAATAAAATGCTCCAAACCGTTAAATATGGTAACTCAGCGGCAACCAAAAAGAGCTTACGAAATGACACGAATTCACAAACGGTTGCGAATGTGTTAATGCTTTAATTTACGACTCGCTATATTTCTTCCGCCGACTATACTACGCTCGCACCGTCTGACTCGCCCGTCACGCGGTGCTACATGTATGATACGATTCTTCGATTTTATCGCGTCAGCCAATAATGACAATTGTGTTAGAGAAGGTGGGCCTATGGGAATATAACCCAATCAGACCTGCATTCCTTCCTCTGGATATTTTTCCATCTCTGCACAATACACATGTCTCTCCACAAAAAATAAAACATACATTTTGTAGAGGAAGGACCAAAAGTAAGGGGATAATGTTATATTATACAAGCACAGCAGTTTCTGAATATAATCTCTGAATTTGGAGAATGTTAATATGAACTTCCAACTTTCTGTTTTTTGAAATTAATTAAGTGGAAGACTACTAAGCGACTATAAATGCAATTGTAACAAAGTATTGTTAAAAAATAATGAAACACGATAACATATTCAATTTCTTTTTAATTTTGCAACAAGTTTTTCAATGTAGTCCAATAAGAAAAATGGATACATTCTTTTTCGTCCACAAGCTGTGAAAGAAATAAAAGACAAATTTCAATAATGTGTAAAAATACAAAACCATCCTCTTCGAAACAAGTTTTTTATTTCTACAGATTTTACACGTACTTGTACGATAATACCACCGCTGTCGTTAACACTTAACGGATGGGTCACGTAAATTTACGTTTTTCCATTCTGACTTCCTAGGACGGCCCACGTAGATTTACGTTTTCGCTTGAATTTGTATTACGCTTCTCTTAAAAAATGCCCGGAAACCGAGAAAGACAGAGAAAAAATAGCCCGTCTGTTAAGCGTTAATAAGGGATTCACAATGCTGGCTATCTAACGCTTTAAGCTCCAATTAAAAAAAATTGTTTACAGCGATAAAAAGTAGATTTTTCATACGTAAAAATGTCCAATTAATACGACAAGTGTGCTAGAATTAACGTATTTTCCCAGGTTCACAAATGACGTCGGAATGTTGTCCAAGTATAGAGCCATGGAGATCCTGTGAAGAATGCAATATCTGCTGTTATTGGAAAAGAGTTACATGTAAAGTATATCATTGTCCATGAATCATGTTCACGTGCCTCTGTTAATATTTTGTTGCAACTCCTTGTGCAAAAATTACTGCCGCCATACGCTTAAGCATTGAATGTACTAAATTTCTTAAAGGAACCTACAAACAAACAAAAATTTTTTTTAAAATTTTCTCTGTCAATTCTGCGAGTATAAGTTTTTCTCAATAATTTGCTCTACTTTGTTTATAATTCTCGGCATTAGAAGTGCACAAATTTTTACTTTGAAAACTAAGTTCCATGACTGAATGAATGAATTATTAATGAATTTCTGCCCTATAAGCAGAATCATCTTTTTCTTATTCTTGGAATACATTTTCCATTTGTCTTTCGGTCAAATTAACTATCTTATCTAGCTATGGTGCTACGAGAAAATTTGTATACACAATTTAAATGGTTTCAAAGGATGAATAAGATGGGAGAAAAAGTTTTTTATATTTTTCCAAGGTATGTTGCAGCAGACATTGTATAATAATATGACCTTAAAATGATCTTAGACTCTAAAATTTTAAATCAAATGTGAAACTTCCTTTCATTTTTTACCATTTCTTCTATCGAACACCTTATTCACCCTCTGAAACCATTTAAATTACGTATAAACATTTTTTCGTACCACCATAGCTGGGGAAGGTATTTAAATGGCCTGCTTTACGTGGCGCACCTTGTATATAAGGCAAAAAGTTCCACTACCTTGAAATCAAAGAAGAGAGGATAAAAGTGCATGAGTTCAAAAGTGACTATAACTCCGGAACAAGGTCAAATAAAGCATATGTTTATACGAACCTTTTTCATTGTTTTTGCATTCTCTGTTCACCGCTGAAGTGTATCCTATATGTTAAGAAACCCATTGTATGTCATCGTGAACTTCAACGATCTTCTAGGAATATATGAAAATGTATCAGAGCCATTTTTCTACGTCAAGACCAGAATCTTGTCATTAGAGGACCTAAGGCATTTAGACACGTTGATTCGGAGTTGCAAAATGGGGAAGCAAGGATGATTTGTCGAAAACGTGCTGGTGTCATAATATTTCACAGAAATCCATTTCTACGCCAATGCATTTACCTTTCTTTTTATCAATTGAGACAACACATAACAGCATTCACATGTAAATACCCGCATGCGCTGTACCGTAGTGGATAGCCTGACGAAAAATCTGTCCACACATACACGCACGTCTGCAGGCTTTTTCCACTTTTACGATAAATCACCGCGTTTTCGCGAAAGTTGATCTACGATGATCATCGATGATTAGGCATTTCTGATCGCATATTTTCCGAATTTTCCCTTCCCAGAATGTCAGATCTTCATTGCCACAGTTTCATTCACTGGAACCTATTTTTGAGCTAAGGATTCTCGTTTCGGAAATTTGTGCCTCCCACCTTTAAAGGTCACCTTCCTTCTATCTAAGTAAAGGCGTGTTAAAGGCGTACTAGAAGCGTGTTAGTGATAGACATGCTGATTAGTCGTTGGAATTTTTTAATATCAGTAAATCAGCGTGCTGTGCAGAGCTGAGAAGTTGGCGTGCAAGACGCTACGCAGTGCTATATGATCCGATTCGTCGATGTTATCACGTTTGGCCACTAATGACAATACGTGTGCCTATGGATTTCTTCCACGGGACTTTTTTCCAGCTCTGCACAGTAGCTATCTACGCTAAAACGTCCCCTCAAGCGGAGGCCGTCTAGGACCGTAGAGTGGGGATGGCGTGCCCCGCCCATTTGCCCCTCATTTTCTCAGGCATGCGCGTTAAGGCCTTCAACTTTGCTTGGTCGAGCTATACACAGTTCCCGTATTATTGTGTGATCCTTCGAAAAATTCTTGTAAGGGAACATTCCGAAATAATAATCATTGTATTGATGAAACTTTGGTACATGGTATCTAGTAGTACTTGAAATATTTTACATATGAGCCGTTTAATGCGAAAGTGGTGTAAGTCGAAAAAGTTGAATTCTGGATAATGAGGGATAAAGTAAAAGCTCTGAAAAATTCAATAATATGAAAGAATGTTGCATCTCTTTTATGTGTGCCACTATATTAGTTATACCTTAAGCTAATAATGCCATTTTGCCACGAAAATCAAGATATATGTATAATCATTTTATTCAATACACCATTACACTATTCCTGCATATAGCGTCCATGCTATTCGAGTGGGTGGTTCTTATATTTTGCCATCCACCGAGAAACTAGTGAAGATATACCCACACCACTTCTGCACAAAACAGAATAAAAGTTGAACTTCCGAGATATGGTGTTGAATCCCATATTCTTTTTTATCGGCAATTGACCATATGGAAGAGGTGAAAATCTCCTTATATATGGGTGTAGTACCTAACTACTCTTCGTTCAAAATAAGAATAACCTCGTTTCGCGCATGGGACGTGCCTAGGGCAGGGCTAGAACGTCCAAACCCCTACTTAACCGCCTACGTTTTTCTCCGTCTTACCCTCTGCAACACTCTCTGTCTATGCGCAGAACGAACGAGAATCGGTCCGAGAGCGAGGTTACTCTTATTTTGAACGATGTATAGAACCACTAGAACGTCCAAACCCCCACTTAACCGCCTACGTTCTTCCCCGTCTTACCCTCTGCTACGCTCTGTCTATGCGCAGAACGGACGAAAATCGGCCAGAGAGCAAGGTTATTCTTATTTGGAACGAACAGTATATTGGTCTGCAACGATGCGAATTTTCGTCAGGGCCAACCTCGGTCTGGATACCATTAGGTCCCGTCTTTTACCTTCCTTTCGGAATTCTCGCTTTAAGACAAAATGAATTTTAGTGATTCTAAAGTAGTAAACTGTAATTTCGATCGCTACCCAAACTCTAATTTCCTCAATTCAAAGGTAATCCTTCCTCGCGACTGTGTCATAAACCGAACACGTCAATGTACAGCATTTCTCTATCTTTAACAGTTTTTGAGGCATTAGACCAAGTATTGTATGTTTACTTTCAAGGAGATTTTCACCCCTTCGCTCTGGACGATTGCCAATATAAAAAAAAAAGTGACGAATAATTTTTTTTAAAACTACCGCATATACCAGAGTTTCACGAAAATCGTAGATTATCACTTCGGGATGTTCGTTTGTTGATTTACATACCACGTGCAAATACCACAAGACTCGTACGTTATTTTTAACAACCACGGGCATTAAAGCAAAGCTACGAGAACGTATCACAGCATTATATGTACGAACCTATCGGTATACATTGACATTCACCTTGCACGACTTGTAAAAACTTGCACGAGTCTCGTCACGAACTGAAATTACATGCTGAAAGTGCATATGCAAATTGAAAGATACATAGAAAGATCGCGACAGTTGCGCCTGCTATTGGTTGTTACTGAATGTTGCTCAACTCCGTAAAATATAATGTTGAAAGATATACTATGTGTGAATATTTGTATTATTTCGCAATTCAAGTTGGAAAAATTTGAAATTTGCGTTTAATGTAGAAAATACAATTAAAAGTAACATTACGTTGCTGGAAAATAAATAACCGATCAGTGTTTTTACATTTGATATGTTACAATTTAAACATTATTCACATACATACACTGCCGTTCGTAAGTAATTAGGACACCTGTTATATTCGTACATTTAAGTTACATTTCTTCTTCAATGTTAATATCATATATCAGTGAAAATATACAGGGTGTTCACACTATTAGTGTCCAACGTTTCTCTCATAAGTGGTAGATTTGTGAAAAAAAAATAGAAGAGGACCAAGTTTCCCTATTTTTCATACACATTACGATGACCTCAATAGATTGTTTAAATTTGCAATAATTTTCACGTAATGACGATACCACGTATATTTTTAAATTCACAGCTATAATTCCTTTTATATCATACGAAAGCGGTTGACAAGCGGTTGTCAACGACCTACAACCAAGTCATTTTCAAATTCAATTTCGTGACAATGCGTGGCATAATCAATGACACACTGTTCGGATCTTATCTATACGATTGTACCTTAAATAGTAATAAACATTTAGAAGTTTTATCGTATGTACTCGGTCTACGAAATTCCAGACTGAATCGTTTTTTTCAGTCTCTCAATAATTCTACAATGACTGCTTAAGTTTTCTTCACATATAATAAATGTCCTAGTACTTACGAATGGAAATGTATGTTAATCAAAATAACATTCGTTGTTATTTATACATTTTTTTTCTAACGCATTACAAGACCATTTATGTCGTTTTTAGAACATTCTAGAATTCTAAAACAAATAAACTCTGAAGGTTTTAACAACCGTTGCTTTTGTAGCGAAATTTTTTTGCTTGAAAGAATGGGCTAAATCAGGGTTTCCCAAAGTGCGGCCCGCAAACCCTAGAAATGCGGTCCACGATGGGCAGATCAGCCGCGATCTTGAATTTACAGAGATGATTTACATTTTTACAAAAAAATAAATCAATTTTATCATATTATAATTAAAAGTTGTTCAGTTAAAAAAATACTAAATTTTATATGTAATATATCTTGTTATTATATAGATTGT